ACGTCCCAAGAGCGTTCTCTCTCAAGCTTCGCACGACTACACGAGCTATAGGCCTCACGCCGACAAGTTACGATCCTGAGTTCGACGTCAGTCAGGATCTGTTAACGGCAAAACATGTCGACGACATCAATATGGCAGGCCTAGAGAAAAACGTAGATGACTATGTGCAACGTGTCGAAAAAGGTGTTTGGTAAGTGCAAGCTCAACAAACATTATTACACGAACTGCGCCGTTCGCTGCACGAAGAATGAACAAGGGGATGCGATCATGGATCAGGACGAGTACATTAAACAACTACGTCCTATCACACACCCTGAACTTACGGGAGCGGCGGCAGACGCCAAAGCTACCAAACTCATCGCCGACATGTTCGTTAGCCTGCGAGGAGCTCTCGCTTATGCCCTTCTTACTCAAGTCTGGCTTATGGTGCACGTGGTCTCTCTCCAGAAGATCCAAGAGCCCGCCAACTTACAAGTCAGGCGACTGAATGCTGTGACGCGAAAGCTGATCAGCAGCCCGAAACGCATCATTTTCCCTCGGGTGAAACCGACGAATGACGCAGACATACACAGTGATTCGGGGTATCGGAAGCTCACCGGGGAGGAGGACGATGAAACCAAGGGCTACGGCATTCGTGGGGCTAACGTATTACGGCGAGGAAACTCGCCTCAAGGCAAATCCGTCATTCACCTTTGCGACGGACTATGTAAATCACACCGACTGCAGGTGAGGCCCAGCTATGCCGCTGAGGCACTTGCAGCTGCACACAATCTTGATGAATGTTATCCCACGCTCATCACTCTCCACGAGCTCAAGGCAGGGGCACTTACTCCACGACAACTACGAGATATGCGTGAAGTTGGAGGCCTAGCTATCAAAGTATCCCTTACTATAGACGCTGAGTCTGTATACAAATCGCTATCCAGCAAAGATCTGAAGATACCGACGGAACGGACTTTGCTGGGACATATCAGCTGGATACGTGAGCTCATGGATATAGGTATAGTGCATAACGCACAGTGGTGTGATACTAGAGACATGACCGCAGATGGGCACACAAAAGGGGAGTATCGATCGGGAGCTGCTTTTGGAAGTGATGTCCGGCACTCAGTTATTTAAGTATGACGTGAAGCAGTTTGTCCCCTGTCGTGGTCCTGAGGACAGAAGCAAGCCTGAGTCGAATCAGTTTTAGTCTGTCCTCGTTGCCCCCGCGGTCCAGTTTGCCAGCACGGGCGCCTAATACAGAGGCGCCCTCCTAGCTGCTCGGAAACGAGCCCTACTTTTCACGCTTGGCAACGAGCCTATTCAGATTGGTTCAGGCTCTTTGCTTTCATACTCTTTTGCCTGGAGGGGAATAGCCTGTTTGGCTCACCTCTAGCCGGGCCGATAGCCCTTGGATATCCAAGGGGCTATCCTGCGTATGCGTGAGAACGTTTTGCGAGGAAACTCGCCGGCGAATAATCTCGCCCTTCAGTCTGGTGGTAGGCCAGACTGTGCGTACTGTTTTTCTTGCAAACAGTTGTGCGCGCGGCCTTTCTAGAGCCTAACGGCTGCGCGGCTATGCTCTCCGTCTCCTCCCCTCCCGACTTTAAGGGTAGCTCTTTGGGAGATGTTATAGAGGATCGGGAGTGTAGCCTGCGCGCCGTTGCCTTTGGCTCAAGGCACGCGCGCCCAATTTGCCCGGACACTGCTGGTGTTCGCTATGTGCTGGAAAGATCATTACATCGATCTTATCCTATCCTATCCATCCACTCCCCGTACTGAAGTAACACATCATGGAATTGGATGCTATTTGGCTTACCAGAGCCACTTCAGACTCTGATCGCATCCCTGGGCGGAGACACGCCTGAGCCTCGTCCGGTACTGGGTGACGCTCGGGCGTGCCACCGCCCTGGGATCCCCCCCCCGATGGGTTCTCGGCGGTTGTCCGTGTGTCTCCTCTGGCATGCTGGGCCCTCCTGGGCCAGGCAGGTTCCCGAGCCCGCGCCCCGCGCCCGGGGGTGGGGGGTGCTCGTGCGCACCGGCCGCGCCGCGGGCCCTGCGCAGACGGGGCTCCCAGGGAGGGGGGGGCGGTTCCGAGCGAGTTCCGGGCGTCCCGAAAAGGATTTACTGGAGGATGGTCAGGCTTCGGGTGTTGCACGGACAGCCTCCCTGGATAGTCCTGGCAGGCCTTCACAGGCGCCCCGAGCAGGCCCAGCTGGCCTCAACAGGCCCCTCGAGCACCCCAAGGCGGTCACAACACCCCGACGGCGCCCCTGGGGCGCTCCGCGCCCGCGGGCTGACGTGTTGAGACCGCCCTCGGCAACTCGGGGAGGCCTGTCGGGGCCCCTGGCATCCTCCGAGATAATGTGTTTCAATCCGCGGCCCTAAAGGTCCCGATTCTTTCCCCAGGGGTAGTTTTGCGCCCGTTCTTGAGTGCCCCAGGGCCCGATACGGGGGCCCTGGAGGCCGAAGTCGATGAACTCCGCTCGGGTTGAGAAATCAGATCGTCGGAGATGACGGAAAGAGCGAGGTACGAACGAGTGACGTTGAGTAGGGGGCAAAGCCCTTCTTAGGGGGGGTCCAGTCGGGGTGCGAGGCCCAGACGTATGGTCTAATAGCCCGTTTCCCTCGTATTTGTTCGAGTGAAGCGGCTCCCGGGTGGCTCACATGGCCCGTTTCTTCCCCAGACGGGCCCAAGACGGCCCAGAGACCCCAAATATCCTCCCAAGACGGCCCCGGAGGCGCCCAAAACGGACCCAAAACGGTCCAAGAGGGCCCCCAGACGGGCCCAAGACGGCCTAAGAGGCCCCAAATATCATCCCAAGACGACCCCAGAGGAGCCCCAAAGGGGCCCAAAACGGCCCAAGATGGCCCCCAGACGGCCCCAATACGGCCAAGAGGGCCCCGAGGACCCTAAGAGAGCCCAAGAGGGCCCCAATAGGCTCCCCAGCGCGCCCGAAGAGGAGGAGGAGGAGGAGGAGGAGGAGGAGGAGGAGGAGGAGGAGGAGGAGGAGGAGGAGGAGGAGGAGGAGGAGGAGGAGGAGGGAGGAGGAAGGAGGAGGAGGAGGAGGAGGAGGAGGAGGAGGAGGAGAGGAGGAGGAGGAGGAGGAGGAGGAGGAGGAGGAGGAGGAGGAGGAGAGGAGGAGGAGGGAGGAGGAGGGGAGAGAGGAGGAGGAGGAGGGGAGGAGGAGCGAGGAGGAGGAGGAGGGAAGGAAGGAGGCCAGGAGGAGGAGGGAGGAGAGGAGGAGGGGGAGGAGAGGAGGAGGAGGAGGAGAGGAGGAGGAGGAGGGGAGGAGGAACGAGGACGAGGACCGGGACGAGGCCAAGGGAGGAGAGGAGGAGGGGAGGAGGAGGAGGAGGAGGAGGAGGGAGGAGGAGGAGGAGGAGGAGGAGGAGGAGGAGGAGGAGGAGGAGGAGGAGAGGAGGAGGAGGAGAGGAGAGGAGGAGAGGAGGTGGCGGAGGAGGAGGAGGAGGCGGAGGAGGAGGAGGAGGGAGGAGGAGGAAGAGAGGAGGAGGAGGAGGAGGCGGAGGCGGAGGCGGAGGCGGAGGCGGAGGGGAGGAGAGGCGGAGGAGGAGGAGGAGGAGGTGCAGGAGGAGGAGGAGGAGGAGGAGGAGGAGGAGGAGGTTTGGGAGGAGAAAGAGGAGGAGAAAGAGGAGGAGGAGGAGGAGGAGGAGGAGGAGGAGGAGGAGGAGGAGGAGCGAGGGGTGACGTAACAAGCTCTCAACGCCAAGGCTCCCAGTACGAACGGTGGTGTGAGTAACTTCGGTTAATGTGTTTGAGGCGCTCTTTCCGTTTCCGTGCCGGCCCAGGTCTAAGAGCCCTGTTGGGGCCAGCAGGGAGTATTCGGTGGGGCTGTCTGTGCGCAGCCTGACGCCTGACCACGGGCGTGGCGCGATCAGGGACGTGGCAGGGAGCCGCTTGAGTCCCAAGTCCCCGCGCCTCGAACTTTTTCAACACCACGCCCGTTTCTTTGACGTCCACAGCCACAGACCCCCTCATGACTCATGAGGGGGCAAATCGTCTCGAGATCGTGTAGCAGTTGTTGGTGGGCATCGTACCTTGCTTTGTGTACCCATTCTGCTCGTGCCAATCTGCGCGGGCTCTGGGAGCAATACGGGAGCGTCCAAGAAGGGGGTGAGGACTAGGGTTAAGTCGGACCTGTCCCTCTACAGGAGGAATATCCAACAATGGCCAAACGGAGTACAGGGGACGACTTTTCTATTATCTTCGATTGTTATTGCTTATCATTTGACTATTCTTATTTTTCGTCCACAAACCGCCTGTAGGCGAACATGCACGACCTAAGACTAGGGTGTGTGGACTTCATGGCCTGGGCCATGGTATCTCCCAGGTATCGTGGCCCCCTTCTTCCTCTCAGTCCCCCCATCGTCCGCGCAGATGCCTCGGGCGATGGTACGTACCTAACCCCCTCTTCAGCAAGAACAGCGTATCTATCATCATCATTTACATCATCATCGTCATCATCATCACCATCATCATCACCATCATCGACATCAACATCAAGATCAAGATCAAGATCAAGATCAACATCATCATCAGCCCCCTTCTTTCTCTCATCTTCCTCATCGTCCGCGCAGATGCCTCGGGCAATGGTACGCAATTAACCCCCTCTTCCTGCCCCCCCCCCTTCGTCGCACTCGATTCAGGAGCCTGTTTCTCGTTAGCGTGGCCACCGCGTTCACCTCCTCCCGCCCCTGTCTCAGGCTGGCTTCCCCTACTCCCCCGGTCACTTCTTCAGCTCCCGCATCCACATTCTTCCTCGGCGCGGATGCTCTAAAACGGCCCCTTCCCGTGACAAGCGGAGGCGGCACACCCAGAAGCTCACACACAATCTTTCCTCATCCTCCTCCTCCTAATATATTATGTTTGGTGCCTCGACTGGTGGAGGGTGTGAGAGAAGGTCGCCCTGCCACCTGTCGTCTGCTGTGCCGGCTGCTGCGGCTTTGGCCCCCGTCCCTTGCCAGAGGACAGGCTTCCCCAGGCGCTCGTGCGAATCATGGCGGCCGTGGAGACCGAAGAGCCAGGCGCGCTGGCCGCGACGGGGCGATTCTTGTCGCTTTTCACGGCGCGTCAGCAGTGACGCGCGGTTCGTTGCAGGGGCACCGTGAGCCTAGTAAGCAAGGTCGAGGACATGGATGGGATGGCATGGTGAGCAAAGTAGAGGCGGCCACGCCGTCTTCTGGGAGTCGATCCGTGGAGACATGTGTTTTGTCCCTGCCCGCATGATTCGAGAGTGTTCCTAAATGTGGGGTCACGGGAAAAGAACATGCGTAGTTGTTGTTTGGTTCGCCGCGCTCTGTGGCATTCGAAGCTCCCACGTCAGGATCCATGCTAAATGAGAAGCCGTACAGAGGACAGTGATAGGTCGAATTGTGCCTGCGCAGAGATGGTGGATAATCCAGACGTCGACGTATACATGTCTGTGTCCCGATCCACGCCTCAAACGAAAGAGGCTTGGAGTGGTAAAGCGAAAGTGCGTTGAGCGCAAACCAAGAAAACGCAGCGCCTGCTAATGAACCTAGAAGTGCCACGCTAGCATTGCAAGCTTGCGCATGCATATCTGGATACGCGTACGATTCAGTCCCTCGACAGTATCCGCCTGTGCCGTCTGTGCAGCTTTACATGGTAGCTCAAGCTGGCCAGTCGTCGCGGTGGTTTCGGAACACACTTCGAGGACGCCCTGACGCTCATACTCTTCCGAGCAGCAGTTTGTCCAACAACTATTTGCTCAGCGATATGACATGTCTGGGCAACCGGAAGAGCATGCGTACGCAAAGGTTGAACAACACCAGTCGAAGCGAAAGGGGCAGCCCACGCAAGCTTCCGATAGGCAATGATGCCAATGATTTTGGAACTAACCAACATGTTACCGATAGTCAACACAACTCGAGCTTATATCAACCTCAGGGTTAGGCAGCTCGCTTTCCCGCCCGATGCACCAAACAGGTTGCCGGCTTGGGCCCTCTGTGGCCTCTCTCGGAGCTTCTTGGAGGTAGGGGCTCTTCTGGGGTTATGTTCCTCGTCCTCTTCCTTGCGCCCCCCTGCTCAACGGTGCACACGGTGGAATGAAGATGCACGCGAGGTCCTCCGCCACACCTACCGCCCAAACAAAGCAGGAGGGAGGACAGGGGGGAACAGGTGGACAGAGGAGGGAGGAGGGAGGAGGGAGCGACAACACAGCATCGAAACTCTTACTGCAGCAGGGTTCATTCGCCTTTCGATGTTCACGCGGGCGGCGGGGCGCCACCAGGGCACTGCCGCGCGCGCCCGCGCAATGCTTCGCGGCGACCTTTTTTGTGGGCGAAGGTCCTCGGCGCGCGCGGAGAGGCCATTTCTGGGAGATCTCTTGACGCAATCATCTGCCCCGCCCGCCCCCCCCCCCCAACCCCCAGCGCCCAGCGAGAGGGCTGGTACGCTCGGGCTTGGGCTCACGGGATCCCAGGGCGGTCCCTAGTAAATCATGCTACATCCAGTTGCTTGCGGCAAGTCCCGCCACCGTGCCAGCCCAGTTTGCTGGGTGGCGATTGTTCGAGGGGGCACTGGGGGCCGTCACGTGTGACACCTCGTGTCTCCAGGCTTGAGGGAGCCATGATGAGCATGTTACGAGTATGGGCATGCGGGGGGTGATGATGACGGTGATGTTGATGATGGTGATGATGTCGATGGTGATGAGGATGGCGATGCTGTTGGTGATGGTGGTGATAATGATGACGATTGTGATACTGATGGCGTTGGTGGTGGTGATGTTGATGATGTTGATGGTGCTGCTGATGATGTTGATGAATGTGATGATGATGATGATGATGATGATGATGATGATGATGATGATGGTGATGGTGATGGTGATGGTGATGGTGATGGTGATAGTGGTGGTCGGGATGCGGATGGTGATGCTTATATTTATGGTGTTGATGCTGATGTTGCTGATGATGAAGTTGATGAGTATGTTGATGTTGAGAACGATGGTGATGACGGTGTTGATCATGGTTATGTTTATGATGACCATGATGTTGACGATGTTGATTATGTTGATGATGTTGATGATGATGCTGATGATGGTGCTGATGACGATTATTGGGAGAAAGGTGAGGACGCCGATGACGTCGGCGGTGGCATTGATGATGCTAAGTATGGTGGTGGTGGTAGCGATGAGGATGATGATGCTGATGAGGATGATGATGCTGATGATGATGCTGTTGATGCTGATGTTGCTGATGTTGATGATGCTGTTGATGAGGATGCTGCTGCTGCTGATGATGATGATGATGATGAGGATGAGGATGAGGATGAGGGGGATGGAGAGGCTGCAGATGAGGACGAGGATGCGGAATAGGATGTTGATGATGATGATGATGCTGATTATGTTGATGAGGACGAGGATGAGGATGATGATCAGGATGAGGACGATGCTGATGATGAGGATGATGATGGGGACGCCGATGAGGATGATGCTGAAGATGATGATTGTGATCAAACTCATTTGGGCAGACGTCGGGGAGTCTTGGCCTCCTGTGCGGCTGTATTGGTGCCCTCTTGGGTCGTCTTGGGGCCCTTTTACGTCTGCTCGGGGCTCTTTTGGGCCGTCTTGCTGCCCTTTTGGCCGTATGGTGGGTATAGAGGGGCCGTCTTGGCGCCGTCTTCGGCAGTCGAAGGGCCTTCAAAGGCCGTCTTGGGTCCCACGGGAGGGCCTCTTAGGCCGTCTTGGCTCGGTCTTGGATGCCTCTTGGGCCAGGAGTCCTCTTGGGCCGCCTTGAGTTGACGGCAGCCCGAAAATGCGAGAATGCGAAAGTGATTCAAACACCCAAGGGCAATCACTGATTTTGGTTTCTTCGGACCCTGAGGAAGGTCCTCTTGCGTCCATGTCGGACCCTCCTGGAGGGATCTTGGGCCGTCTTGAGTCACTATTCGGCCGCCTTGGGGCCATTTTTGGGCCGTCCTGAATCAAACGTGGGATCGTTGTTTGGGAGGCCTTGGAGCGGTTGGGAGCAGCGGCTGGGAATGCGGGAAGCGCACGATTCATGAGCGGGTGCGCGTGTGATGGGGGACCTAGGAGCTAGGAGTTAACAGCCATGCGGGAAGTGCACAATCCTCGAGAGGGAGCGCATGAAATGAGGGTTCAGGCATTAGCTGCCATGCTGGGAGTGCACCATCCTCAAGCGAGCACCCGTGGAATGGGCGGTTCGGGCTTTAGTTGCCATGCGGGAAGTGCACCATCCTCGAGCGGGCACGCGTGGGATGGGCGGTTCAGGCGTTAGCTGTCATGCGGGGAGGGCATCATCCTCGAGGGAGCACGCGTGGAATGATGGTTTAGGCATGAACTGCCAGGCGGGCAGAGCACAGTCCTCGAGCGGGCAAGCGGGGAATGGGGGATAATGCAGTCGATGCCATGCTGGAAGTGCACCTTCCTAAGCGTGCACGAGGGGAGTGGCCTCGGTGAATAGGGGGATGAGTGCAACAGTCCGCGGGTAGAGGGAGAGGGGGCCCTTAACCGGAATTCAGAAATCCCTACCAGACAGCCCTTGGCATTCTTCCACGCTTCAACGCGCCACGAGGCAAGGTGGCGGATTTCAAGCGTCTAGATGTCGGAAAGGGGTGTTGTACAAAGGAGTTCGGTGCCAGCGTTATCCACGATCGCCGCAAGTGCGTTGCATGCCGAATTCAACAACGCTGGCTTTGCGTTGACCGCTTCGAACAAAAATACATAATGTATGATTCCAACTTCCCTAAACGACCGCCGTCCAGTCTGAACGGCGACACACAGGCCCATTCCATGACGCCCGATCGCCAGGCACGCGATTCGGAAGATTCTGGAATTTGTGGGACTCCATGTTGTGATTCCGGACTGCCCGGAACGTCGTTTCGGAATTCCTGGGATTTGGCTTTGCACTGAAACAGCACTGTTCCCCAGGAATTGTTAGTGATTATCTGAGGAGTTGGGCTTAATCGTCAGTCTGGCGGCTATGTTGTCGCCGCGGTCGCCCCGTCACTGCCTCGTCGCCGCCCGTCGTCTGGGCCTGACCGTCGCTCTGGCGGCTATGTTGCTGACGTGGCCACCACGTCGCCACCTCGTCGCCGCCCGTCGTCTGTGCCTGACTGTCCGTCTGGCGGCTATGCTGTCACCGTGGCCGCCCCGTCACCGCCTCGCCGCCGTACCGTTGCACCCCCCCGCGCCGTTGCAATCCAACCGATTCCAATTCAAGCGATTACAGCTCACATAGTGCGCACCACATATATTCTCCTTTCAAAAAAGAGAATAGACTCTACCCCCCCCCGGACTTATCGCTTCCCCCTGGGATAGTATGATTTCATATATATATATATATATATATATATATATATATATATTCTGCACACTCGTCCATCCTAAATATGAAATCAGACCATCCCAGCTAGGCCGGGTTCCCCCCCTGAGGTTCCCTTGTAAAAAAACACTATGCGGTGAAATTTTTGTTCTAACATAACACATTTTCACGAATCTTTTGCAAAAAATGGGACGAAGTGCGCACGCGCGCGTCGTCGCGCGCGCATGCCGAAATCTTTCAAAAACTTTCGGTGCGGGAAGGATTTCGCAATCGAATTTCCAAAACACATATAAAAACACATGGTTTCGCAACACGGAATTGCAAAAAAAGCTTCCGCGCGAGCTCTTGCGAAATCTAAAAAAAACCATAGGTTCTTCAAGATTTCCAAAACATGCTACCAAACCGGCTTCGCGCGCGCGCATGTCGAAATATGTCGAACGCCCTTGCGCGTGTGTCAATGCAGACGCGCGCGCCGTCGCGGGCGTATGCCGAACAACCTTCCAAACCCATCGGTTTCGGAAGGATTTCAAAATCGTGCGTCCAACAAACCTACAAAAACCCAAGGTTTCGCAACACGGATTTTCAACAAAAGCGTGCGCGCGCGCTCTTGCGTCGTCGTCGTCGTCGTCGTCGCCGTCCTCCGTCCTCCCGCGTCGTCGTCGTCGTCGTCGCTTACGTCGTCCTCTGTCTTTTCTCGTGTTCGTCGTCGTCGTCCTCTTTGTCGTCGTGGTCGTTTCCGTCGTCGTTGTCGCCGTGGTCGTCCTTCCTCCTCCTCCCACGTCGTCGTCGTCGTCCGTCGTCGGCGTCTCGTCGTCGTCCCTCCTATTTCGTCGCCATCGTCGTCGTCGTTGTCGTCGTCGTCTTCCCTCCTCCCTTGTCGTTGTCGTCGTCGGCGTCGCCGTCCTTCCTCCTTCGTCGTCGTTCGCGTCGTCGCCGTCCTCCCTCCTCCCTCGTCGTTGTCGTCGTTGTCGTCGTTGTCGCCGTCGTCGTCCTTCCTCCTCCCTCGTCGTCGCCTTCGTCGTCGTCGTCGTCGTCGTCGGAAGTCGTCGGAGACGTCGTCGGTGTCGTCCTAGTCGTTGTCGTCGGTGTCGTCGTAGTCGGTCTTAACAGGTTTTGCAAACCAAGTTGCGCGAGCAGCAGTGGAGTTCAAGTTCGTTTCTAAAAGAGAATAAATAGATTCTACCCCCCCCCGGACTTATCGCTTCCCCCTGGGATGGTACGATTTCATATATATTCTGCACGCTCGTCCGTCCTAAAAATGAAATCAGACCATCCCATCTAGGCCGGGTTCCCCCCCTGAGGTTCCCTTGTAAAAAACACTATGCGGTTACATTTTTTGTTCTAACATAACACTTGTCCACGAATCCCTTGCAACAGATGAGACGAACTGCGCACGCGCGCGTCGTCGCGCGCGAATGTCGAAATCCTTCAAAAACTTTCGGTGCGGGAAGGATTTCGCAATCGAGTTTCCAAAAAAAACATACAAAAACACAGGGTTCCGCAACACAGAGTTGCTAAAAAAGCTTCCGCGAAAGCTCTTGCGAAATCTTAAGAAAACCATAGATTCTTCAAGATTTTCACAAAATGCTACCAAACGGGTTTCGCGCGCGCTCATGTCGAAATCTGTCGAACGCCCTTGCGCGTGTGCCGTCGCGAGAATCCCCTGCAACAAACGGGACGAAGTGCAGACGCGCGCGTCCTCGCGCGCGCATGCCGGAAACCTTCAAAACTCATCGGTTTCGGAAGGATTTCAAAATCGTGTGTCCAAAAAACCTGCAAAAACATAAGGTTTCGCAACACTGATTTTCAACAAAAGCGTGCGCGCGCGCTCTTGCGTCGTCGTCGTCGTCGTCGTCGCCGTCCTCCCTCCTCCCGCGTCGTTGTCGTCGTCGTCGCCTACGTCGTCCTCTGTCTCTCCTCGTGTTCGTCGTCGTCGTCCTCTTTGCGTCGTGGTCGTTTCCGTCGTCGTTGTCGTCGTGGTCGTCCTTCCTCCTCCTCCCTCGTCGTCGTCGTCGTCTGTCGTCGGCGTCTCGTCGTCGTCCCTCCTTCCTCGTTGTCTTTGTTGGCGATGTCGTCGTCGTCTTCGTCGTCGGCGTCGGCGTCGTTGTCGTCTTCGTCGTCGTCGACGTCGGCGTCGTCGTCGTCGCCGCCGTCGTCGTCGTCGTCGTCGTCGGCGTCGTTGACGTCGCCGTCGTCGTCGGTGTCGTCGTTATCGTCGTCGTCGGCGTCGTCATCGTCGTCGTCGTTGTCATCGTCGTCGTCGTCGGCGTCGGTGTCGTCGTCGTCGTCGTCGTCGTGTCGTCGTCGTCGTCGTCGTCGTCGTCGTCGTCGTCGAAGTCGTTGGAGACGTCGTCGGTGTCGTCGTAGTCGTTGTCGGCGGCGTCGTCATCGTCGTTGTCGCTGTCGTCGTCGGCGTCGCTGTTGTTGCCAAGTGCCATGTGGTACCCACCGTCACGGTCTGAAGAGATTTTGCAAACCAAGTTGCGGGTGGGTGGGTGGGATGTTTGCGCTAGCAGTGGAGTGGACAATTCAATGCGAACAGAAATTAATTGCACTACATAGACTGCAACGATATATTCTCCTTTCTAAAACGGAAATAGGTTATTCCACCCTCCCCCCCCCGGAGTTACCGATTCCCCGGGAACCTATGCAAAACACATGTGATTCTGACCCAATGTCCATCTTACTTGTGAGTTCATACTATCCCAGCCAGGCCGGTATCGGCCCCCTCTCGGTCACCTTGCAAAACATACTATGCGCGCGCACTCGTTTATCAGAAATCATATATGTTCGAGAACCCCTTGCAAAACAATGGCAACGTGCACACGCGCGCGTCGCCGCGCGCGCATGCCGAAATCCATCAGAAACCTTCGGTTTCGGAAGGAATTCAAAATCAAGTGTCCAAACAACATAAATAAGCATGGTTTCGCAACACGGATGTTCAACAAAAGCGTGCGCGTTTGTTGCGAATGCTTAAGAAAAGCCATGCGTTCTTCAAAATTTTCATAAAATGCTACCAAACGGGTTTCGCGCGCGCATGCCGAAATCGTTCGAACGCCCTTGCGCGCGTGCTGGGGTGGCACGATGCGTGTCAAATAATACTATGCGGTCCACTCTCGCGCGTCAGCCGCGCGCGGATTTCGAATTCCTTCCGGAACCTTCATCACCGACGCGAAGACGCCGTCATCGCCGTCGGCGTGATCAGCATTGGCGCCGTCACTGGGTGCCCCGTCGTCGCTGTGAGCATCGTCGCCAGCACTGCTACTATCATCATCGTGTACCGTTGCCGACGTTGCCATGATACCGCGCTTGCCCACGTCGCCGACTCGCACTGAAGTGCCCGCTGGGATGTGCCGAGCGGTCAGCGCCACCGCGTTCGCGTCGGTCGCGCCAAACTAGTTGGCCGGTGCGCGCGCGAGCATGCGCGGGCTAGCGCGGCCGCAAAGATGCAACAGCCAACACCCAACACTCATCGCAATCGCTCCCGCATGGGTTCTGCAAACCAAGTTGCGGGTGGGTGGGTGGGATGATTGCGCGAGCAGTGGAGTTGACAATTTCAAATTCGGCAAGTGAATTGCACCGCGTACGTTGCACCACTTAGATCGCACACGGTATTTTGCACCACAGAGTGTGCCACGTAGATTGCACCACATCGATTTAACAACATGAAGTGCACAACGTAGGTTGCACGGCCTATATTGGGCAACGTACATTGCACCTTTCATAGTGCTGCACTCCGATTGCGCACCACATAAAAAGCGCATCGCAGCAATTGCGCAACAGATCGTGCACAAACTAGATCGCACATCATAGGTTGCACAACCTCTGTTGCACAACGTAAATAGTAAAGACAGGTTGCGCGACGTATTGCACAACACATGTTGCACCACATAGATAGCACTACATAGATTGCACAACACATTGCGCAACCGATGTTGCTAGAAACACGGTGTTGGGTCCACGTTCGCTACCATTTATACTTTCCCAAATTTTCCCGAATTCCGTTATGGTGACCCGGAAATTCTGGATTCGCGCTTTTCGCGATTCGGATTTTTCAAACATGCGCGTTGACTGGATTGGGCGTCCGGGAACATTTCGTTGCGATGCCAGTCACACCGGACTCAGGTCGTTTGGGGAAGTTGGAACCAGCAGTTCTGACGTCGTTTGGTGCGGCCGGCGCAAAGCCAACGTGGTTGCAATCGGGATGCAGCGTTCTTGCGGCGATCGCAGGTGACATCGTCATTTTCAGCACTGGCACCGCGCTCCTTTCTACCACATCTTTTTCCGACCTCCGCAGGGCACGGTAATTCAAAACCCCGAGGTCAAGAGCAATAGCTTTCACAATTCTGTGCCAGTGCGCAGGCGTCCCGCGACGCCCCGAGTCCCGCATCCCATCGCCGTCAAACTTTCGGCGCGCCGTTGAAGGCCCGCCGTCGACCGTCTCATCATCATTGCTGGCATGTGCCATCGTCTTTGTTTGCTCCAAGCCGTGAGATCTGGCGCAGGTGCACCCTGCCGCTGCTGCGCTCTCCTGGCGCGCAGGGATGGCGCCCGCGCGTGGCCAGAGGCAGCGGGCCCTGGCCCCCGTCCTGGGCACGCCGTCGTGTGTGGCAACGTGGGCATGGTTCGGCGGCGGGCGAGGGGGGACACGAGAAAGCAAAGGCCTTCTCAGAAGGTTCGGAAGTCCCCCTGCCTTCTGAGAAGTGTTTTGAGCCTTCCCCGAAGAGAATCAACGAACTTCCCAGAAGGCGCGAAGGTTTTTTGGAAGTCCCGCCGCCTTCTGAGAAGGCCTTCTCCTTCGCATTTCCCCCCCCCCGCTCGCCGCCGACTGATAACTCCAGACCGGAGAACATATCCGGCAACACAACTTTTGTCAGATCGTTCGAGGTTTGAGGGCCGCTGGCCACTCCGCGAGGCCACGGCATTGCCCGCACCCGCCTTTTCCTGGGGAGGCCAGGGCGCGTGGCCGCCGCACTAGCGCCCCGTTCCGCTGCATGTCCGTGCCCGCTTCCTCCACCTTCCCGCCCGCCCACCCTCCCGCCCGCTGCCCCCTTCCCCCCTCCCTCCCCCCCTCTCCTCCATTAGAGCCGTCCTTCCTATCTTGCCCCCTCGTCTTTCCTCGGTTCCCTTCCCAGCATGTTTCGTCCTCTCAGTTCCTCCGCCCACTTCTTCCGCATTCCTCCTCCCTCCTCCGCTTCCGCGTCTTCTTCCTGCTCCTCGTCCTCCTCTTCCTTCATTTCCGCACCCTCCCTTGTGGAAGCCCGCAGAGGGGCAAAACCGACCAAGGCCTCGATTTTTTATCCTAGATCTTGGTCCTCCAGGTACCTTGGTCATCGACCCCCAACCCTGCTCCAAAGCGATCCTCGATCGACACTCGGCCTTCGATCCTGCTTCCCGATCCTGCTCCAATGCGGGGCAAAGCAGCGACGACCTCAATCATCGATCCTTTTTCCTCGTGCCCCCCAGAATCCCCCCAGGCACGTACGTGTCCTCCGAGGGCAGGGCGGCAGTCATCGAGGTGCCGAGCGACCAGCAGGCGCTGGTGTCGCAGGATGGTCCACGTCCGTCGTCGTCGTCGCTTTCGTCTGGAGGTTGGGGACGGGGGCGGCACGGTCTTCGGAAGCTCCTTGCCGCTCGTGAGTGGCATTCGGGGCTCCACCTCGAAATGCCTCTGGTTGCGCTCTATGGCTACAGGGTTACAATCAGGGGTTTCTTGGGAGTTCCCCATCCTCTCCCCCCCTTCTCCCTGGTCCTCCTTCATCATTTCTGCTGCTGCTGCTGCTCCTCCTCCTCCTCCTCCTCCACTTCAGTCGTGGGCCTCGTCTGGGCCCTTCGTGGGGCTCTCCTGGGCAATCTTGGGACCACTATGGGGCCTTAGAGGCCCATCAGAAGCGAAACGGCGAGACACCCAACACGTGTCTAAACGCGTTCGGCTTTCGGCTGATGGTGGCCTCTCGGGGGTCGTTCGGGAAGCCCAGTAGCCACTTGGGGCCCTTTGGGGGGTGGTCAATGTGGCCTCTCGGAGGCATGTTGGATGACAGTTTGAACCATCGATGGCGTTAGAGCGAACGGGGCGGCGCCGAAAAGCGTGGTTCCCCCTCAGCCCAGACAGTCTTCTCTTGGGGCCCTCTTGGTGCTTTCTTAGGGCCATATTGTAGCCTTCATAGGCTCTTCTTGAGGCTCTCTTGGCCACCATTTTGAGGCATCATGAGCAAATCGGACGCGAAACGGCGAGGATGCATATCTCATGTGTTCTTGCACGATTTGGGAAGGGTTTGGGCCTTTTGCCAGGCGTCCTGGGGATGTTTGAGCAATGTTGCGGCATATGGTGCCACATTCAAGGCCATCTTGGGCTCTCTGAGGCCATTTTGGCACCATCTTGGATGCTCTAAACCCACTGCGGGTCGCCCCGTGTAGACCCAGGGGAGGGCTAAGGGAATTGGCCAAGTTCCAAACGGGACCGCCACAAGCTTTCTCGCTCACTCCGACCCGCCCTCTCACCATATCAGTACAGTGGAAACCCATGCCAAGAAACACCCTGCTTGTCTCCAGGGTGCCTTGCTGTGGAAAGCGTGACGCTCCCACACCAAAAATCCATGGACGTCCTGGTGTCTCAGGGTTGGGTTTCTTGTGGTCGGGCCCCCTCTGTAGCACCCGAGACTCAGCCTACGCAGAGGTCGCCATTTGATGGTCGTGGATCGGGAACCAAGACTGGCGCCGGGTGTGCGACGCTCGCGTGGTGCACCAAGCGCACCAGGTGCCCCGGTGGCCCAAGCGTGCCAGATTTGCCACGTGCACCAAGTGTGCCACCTGCTCCAGTTGCGCCAGGTGCGACAGACGCACGACGTGCACAGTGCGCCAGGTGCGCCAGGTGCGCCAGCGCACGCTGGGCAATATGTCGACGCCCTGGGCATCCCGTGTCAAAAGCAATGGCGAAGTGGGGGCGCCGTGGTCAGCATGACGCATGGCGTCTCCACCCTCAATGACTCAGGATTTGTTTTTGATAGGGATAGTTGGGCGACACACAGCGGACCAATACGCCCGTCTCCCCGCAATGCTTGTCCAAAAGAATGCAAACTGCTCGCGGGGGGGCCTGCCAATGGTTTAGAGTTTGCGCTGCACTGTGTATTGTTTGTGTCAGGGATGGTGGGGGGCGCTCAGATGTCCTGGTAGCCTTCTCCGATGGGAGGAACGACCCAAACCACTTCCACTCAAAGGGCTGGCGGGATTCGGCTTGCACTGGCCAGTGCAAAGCGACCGTTTGGATGGTCGCTTAACAGGCCGCCGACTCTAAACGTGTGTTTGCCTTTGCGCGTGCGTGCGTACTTGTTTGTGCGACCGACCGCCTTAGCAACGCGGCGTCCGCGCTGGTTCTGCTGCTGCTGCTGCTGCTGCTGCTGCTGCTGCTGTTGCACATTGGAGGACGCGCCAAGGGAAGTGCGGCGCGCTCTGCTGGGAACTCGAGCTGCTGGGAGCGGCGCGCAGCGCGTGCCTGCAGCCGCGCGACAGGCTGCCTTCTCGGCGGGGCCGCCAGACACGCGCCGCCAGCAGCGCGACCAGCGCGGAGTTCGCCGCCAGGCCGAGGCTGACGCGATCTCCGCGCCGCCGGGCGCAGCCCTTGCCAGACGCGCGCCCCCGCCGCCGCCGCGGCGGGGCGGCGGAGATGACTGCGAACGCCCAGACGCCATGCTGCTATGCTCGCTGCCTTCTTCACGCGGCGGTCGTGGTGACTACGCCTCTCGCGCAGGGGGCCGGGCGAAGTCATTTGCGACACCAGCAGGAGTCTTTGGGAGCGCATGCTTGAGGCGGAAGGAGCGGTTGCCCGCGCGCGGACAGCGGTGAACTACATACGCTTCGTCGGAGGCGGTGGGAGGGACATTTTACACGCTTCGGTGTGCTTGGCCTGGCGCAGCTTTGGAAGGCTACGGAGTGACCAGAGCCTTGCCGGGCGCCCGCGATGCCGTTGTCTCTGCTCGTTGGAGAGCGCGCGCGTCGTGCGTGATCAAGCGTGTGCGCGTTGCTCGGCGCCTGACGTTCTGACCCGCACAACCTGTGAGTACACCGGCTCCCTGTGTCTGAGTCTGCCTGCGCGCTCCCCGTGCATGAGACTCTCGGCGGCTCGGGCCTCCTCCCGCCTTCTGCCTCCGCGGCCGCCCTCTACTTGTTTTTCCATCCATGTTACCGTGCCCCGTACCCGTCGGGTATAGCCAGGACCTTGGTTAAGGGGAGCCGGTTAGTGATTGGGCCCCGAGGTCCAAAATTTTGATTGGAATCACTAAACCAGGTCTGCCGCAGCTGGTGTTTTTCGGGTGACGACAGTTCCGGTTAGTGGATTGGGGCGGGGGGGGCGTCCCCCGTGACACATTATTGTAGTGGCCGCGGCCTTCGGCCAGTGCCGCCGATCCGGGGTGCTCGGACTGATGTGTTCATCCTTCGCCCTCGTCCCTCCTCTCTTTTCCCTTCCTTCCCCCTCTCAGTCCGCATTTATCCATTGGCCTTCGGCCTATCCCGCCACCGTGCGTGGGTGGTGGGTCAGAGGCCTCATGGACGCTGGTTGTGATCTCGTGGTTGGCTGGGACCTCTGGGGGCCTCTTGGGGGCCTCTTGGGGTTTCTTGGAGGCCTCTTGGGCATCTTGGGGCCACTTGGGAGCCTCTTGGGGGGTGTCTTGGGGGTCTCTTGGGGCTTCTTGGGGGCTTCTTCTGGGCTCCTTGGGGCCTCTTGGAGGCCTCTTCGGAGCTTCTTGGTTCGGGAGGGGTGGTACTCGAGTTCGGAACCCCCTCTGAGGCCACGATCCTTGTGAGGGGTGTCAAAAAACGCTCCCACCCCGCATCCGCCGGAAACTCGCACCCCCCCCCCCCCCACCCCCCCTTTCCCCGGCAGAGCCACCCCGGCAACCCCCCCAGAGGTTGAGGCTCAGCCTCGAGGCTGTAGCTGAGACTCCTTGAAACTCACACGACGGATCGGCGGACTAATCCAGGTCACACTAATCCCAGTCCTGCCAACGCCCGAACTCGGCGCGGCCCTCCGGATCGACAGACGCGCTTGCGACCGCCAGCGCTGCCGATTCAAACATGTGCGCGCCTTCGTGTGTTCGTGTGTTCGCGGGCGGTCCGTCGCATCATCATTGGTGGCGTCACCGTGTGGGGCAGTGCTGGCTTGATGTCTCCCCATCTCCCTTGGCACACGAGGCGCTGGGCGGCTCGGCTGGCGCCAGCACCACAAGCAGCCGACCGTGCGCACACCCATTTTCGGCATCAAGTGGATACTCGCTTGCGCTCGGCCTCCTTGTTCTCCTCCCGCGCCTCACGTTTTCTTTTCGTGGATCGCCTCGGCCTGCCCCCGCGGCGGGGCACCACAGCGTTGCCATCGACGGACGTTCACATGAAATTCAGTTCGCGCTGCCCGCTTGGTTTCGACATGACTTTTTTTCGCAGTGATGGAGGAGGACCATTTGTGTTCGTGTGTATGTACATGCTGAGTGTGCGTTGTATGCTTGAGTGTGCCTGTGTCAGACTGGGTCCACGGCCGAAAACGGCCGACTTGCATTCTGCTGACCGTTGCGGGTCGCATGCCTTCGCTATGCTACGCTTCGCCGTTTTTTTAATGTTTCTCCGCATGGCCTCCCTTTTCCTCTTTGCTCTCCCCTCCCCTTCAGAGGGATGGCGGGGGTGGCTGGGGCGGGCTCGCTCCGACAAGCCAGCCTCGATCTTCAGCTCTCCTGTTAGGACAGTGGATCTCTTGAGCTTTCCCCCTCCAGGATCCGAGGACGGGCTTGCCGAACCGAAGGGCCGATCCCCCCTCCCTGCTTTCCCAAGGCGGCGTTTTTGACCCTCGTGGACCGTGGGAAATGCTGGTTTCGGCACGCGTTGCCTGCAGCCCCCTTTGGCATTGTTACTGCGCACCCCGTCCCGGTCAACGGGGGGCAACCGACAACTACCTCCCCCTTCGGCACTTTTCTGGGGTGCGGGGGTGGGTGTGAGAAATCGATGTTCGCCCCGATTCTTGATCCCCTTTACCAGGATTCCCGCACCCGGGACTCACACTGCACTGCTTGAGGTTACCCCTACTCGAACCGATAGAACAGCGCAGGTGACCAGAAAACGGTTCCTCGTTTTCCCGCGTCGACTTTTCTGTGTAACGGTTTGATCGGAGTTTTGTTTTCCGGCCGTGTGCGCAGCACGTTCCGGCAGAGCCTTGCCTGAACATGCTGGCTTCCACCCGTGCCGTTCTGTGTGGTGCGAGAGGCACCACATAGCATGTACGAGCACGAGCACTTGATTCGGGGGGGGCCTGCCCCTCATTCGGTTTTACACTCGGTGGGGTGCGGCTGTCCCTGGGGCTGGGCGAGCAACAAACAGGTACCTGAGCGTCGCGTGTGCACGCATTATCCCCCCGTAGGATACCGAGTGCGCAGGGCCTATTCAGTTTCGGTGTCAAAACTGGGCATGCCGGTTTTGTGTTTCACCCGTCCCTTTCAGGAATTCCCGCCTCAGGACCACCTGCCCCCTCGAGCACAGTTACTTCTGGGACATCCACATCCGCTTCGACCTTCCT